ATGCCCATTAGAAATCCTTATTCGTCTGCACCAATATCACCTATGTATTTATGTATGTATTGTATGATATGATATGGTATGGTATGGCATGTATGTATGTGTGTATGTACAGTGAATTCTAATTGTTGATGCACGTGTTGAAGTGGTGAAGAAAAAGATCTAATCCTAGGCGAGTTACCAGAATTAAGGAGGTACCTTAAGATTCACAGACGCTCTTTGTTCAAAAATTTCGATTATATATGTTCTTATACGGCTTCTAGCTCAACGTCATCCATGCTGGTTAAACTTTCCTTAGCATTCATCTCTCATACGGTAATGAGACTTAAAGCGTATTTTTGGAACTTTTTTCTATTTACCTACATTTCGCAGTTTTGCGAAACAACATTTCTATTATCAGCGGTGCCTAAATGCACAGACTCAGTCCTATATTTTAATTCACCTCTCCCTTAGTTAAACAACCTCTAGGTGTCCTTACTAAACTTTGAAAGAATAAGCATATGAAACTATCGTGCTCAAATCAGGCTCAAAATGTAGCAAAATGACTCAAAACTCATAGTGAAACGACCAAATACGTAATGAAAAAATCAATTTAAACAAGATAGTCGTTATTTAGAACATTTCCTTTTTGGTTACGTGTCCCAAAAATCACACTTATACTTTTGCAAAGTTTATTCCATCAAGTGGAACAGTCACACATAGGTAAGATTTCAAGTGTAGGCATTTTCTAAATAGAAGGTGCCTTGCAGAGTCCGTCTTGGCATGCACTGCTGCACACAGCGCAGATTGTGCCTTTGTTATAGATATACTGTGAGTAAATGTTCCCTCTGAAATAATTAGAAGTGGATTTCGTCATTCAACTCGTATGGTCTTAACTGTTATCAGAATCCTTACTGTACAGCAGTACACTCATAGCGTTAAAGTGTACGATAGAACTCACCTTATATAATAGCGGCAAACGACTACTGTTCCAGAACTGCAGCGCTTTACACCGCATCCAACTTTGTAAGAGGCACCCCAAGCCATCT